TGTGTGTGTGTGTGTGTGTGTGTGTGTGTGTGTGTGTGTGTGTGTGTGTGTGTGTGTGTGTGTTCAACTTCTGTTGGCTTTTATTTCTGAAAGTGTACGTATGTACGTTTGTTTGTATTTGTAAGAGTGTGAAGACGATCTGTTTTTCATTTATTTTGAAAACTTGGTCTTTTTTTCGTTTTAAAAGTAAATATCGCTACGTGGCACAAACAAATCCTCTTCAAACACTACGAACAATATTAACGAAACTTTTTTGTGCAATATTATATTACCCTGAATTAATTTTTACAAATGTTCTATTTATTATATAACGATATTGTCAAGATTTTTCGTGAATACAATCTGGCGGACGTCCAACCATACTTAGACAATGGTGGTAAATTAAAATGAGGAAAAATAAGATAAGATATACAGACTTCCGAAACATTGCTAAAAAAAAAAAAAAAAAAGTAATATAGACCTAGACCTAGACCTAGACCTGCGAGGCTAGAGAAGTAGCAGAAAGTTTGTCACCAGTGCCAATATACAAAACACTCAGGTTGTATTCATGTCTGGATTAACTAAAGCAGTTTGTAGTAGAACTGAAAACATGGCAAAAGGAGTTTAACAGGGCTGGAGATGGTTATCGGAGACATGCTGAGTGCAGAACATAGGGCCTGCTAAAAAAAAAAAAAAAGAGACGCTGCCGTATTTTGCTGGGCTATATCCTAAAGCTTAGACCATTATGAAAGGAAAGATGGAAAGGGGGGGGGGATCAAGGGTGGACAAAGAACAACGTGGACCGATAATATCAAGACATAGACTGGCCTCAGTATGACTGAGTACGATGGCAGCAAACGACCGTATGCACTCGTAGGTCATTCCAAGCCAAACTCCGAGCAAGAGATGACACCTACAAGTATGCAGCGCACCAGGTATCTGATGAATTACTAACAATAACAGAAGGAAAGCACTATTCCCAGTGACACTGGGAATAGGCTCAGAAACTATTTCCAGTGACACTGGGAATAGGCCCAGACACTATTCCCAGGGACACGGGGGATAGGCCCAGAAACCACTGGCAATAGGGCCTAGGGCAGAATTGTTCCCAGTGTCACTGGGAATATTCCCAGAAACTATTCCCAGTGACACTGAGAACAGACAAGCCCATTAGATCTATTGTTCTTACACTGATCTACATGGCATGATGGGTTACTAAATACTAGACTATATTTATATCTAATTTAGATCTAGATTGTAGATCGAACTAAACTAAAGTAGATTCTGGTGTGAGTGGAAGAATTATTTTTTAAGGAAAAGGAATGATCATTCTATGTTTGCTTGTTAGTCACTCGTCATTTAAATGTAGGCCTACGTGTAGATCTAGATCTACATACGGATTTTGGAGGCTACGGTACAGGACAGATAGAAATCCTTCCCGATTCTTCTTTCTTAAACTAGATCTAGATCTAGATCTCTATTCTACGGTCAAGTCTAAGCCCTAAGTAAGAGAAGAGAACAAACGTACTGAACTGAAGGGAGAAGATAGGCCTAGTCTTTCAAGGCTGCAGTGCAAAG